CCCCCAGAGGCTGGAAAGAGAGAAAAACCCTGCCCTGATTTGTTCCTCGACGCGAGCATTGTGAACGCTTGGAACCCACGGGATCCAAACCTCTCCGGCTTCGGATCGGCTCGGGAAGCCTTCGGATAGCTCCCAGGGAGCTCCCACCGCGGCCCGCGGCAGGCCCAGGCCGCCCCTGGGAGGCGAGAGGCGTCAAGATCCCACCAGCCCTCTGCGCGCAGGCGGCTGAAGGCGTCTGATCATCCATCCTCCCCCTTCTGCCCCTTCGGGGAGGGGGTTATGTATGCTTTTTTAGGCCGACCCTGCACCCTTCGACGATCAAGACCCAAGAGAGTGGAACAAAAATGATAAATGCGAGAGAGAGAGAGAGAGGAAAATGATAAATGCGAGAGTGGAAAAAAACGGCGGCGGCTAGCGGGGGGGTCCCACATAAACACTCCCTCCCCCACCCGACTGGCAACAAACCAGGAACAACGCACTTCGAAAAAAAATGCAGAATAGACGTTGCGGCAAAATCTGTATCACGTTCTGGCGCCCCGCAAGAGACGAAGGGGGTGCCATCATGTGGTCCAGTGCGTGCAGACCCGCAACCACTGCCAATAGCGTATCGAAAATCCACGCTGCGGAGAACTCTTGGACCACGAGCGGGCGCCCTGGGACCACTTTCCCCAAGCAGTGCTTGCACTCAGGGGCTCTGACTCGTCTCCCTAAGACATCGCGTGAGTCCCCCGAGGTTGCCCCACGCTGCCGCCCGTGGGCGCCTCGTGGATGCCCCGCGCGCTGGGTGGGCCCGCCGAGGCGTCGCCACGCTGCCGACGCTGCGGGCGGCCCCGTGCGCTGGGCGGGTCCGCCGAGGCGTCGCCACGCTGCGGCCTGTGGTCGGAGATCTTCCGGCCCGGGTCAATGCAGACGCGGGTCGGTCGGGCCTTGCAGAATCCTGCAAGATCCTGCAGGAGCCTGCACCCAAGCCCGGGTCGATGCGAGGGATCCTGCAAGAGCCTGCAGGGTTCTGCACCCAAACCCGGGTCAATGCGACCCTGGCCCTGCAGGATCCTGCAAGATCGGGCGCTCTGGCTGACCCCCATTTGCATTGACCCTTGTCGCGAGGCTCCCGATGTGGGCGCCTCGTGGGCGCACCGGGCGTACACCAGATGGCTCACACAGAATCGATTGCACCACACAGCTTGCCCGTCGTGGCTCATGCCACACCAGAGTGTACCCTGTAACTTACACAGCATAGCCCACACATCAAGGATCACAGCACACATAAACTCTACCACCCTCACCCCCTGGGCCATCAACCCTCCCTGGGGCACTGCAAATCACATGCGATTCTGTCCCATCGCTAAGTTTCCATATGCATCCTAACCATCCCTGCAGGGCCGGTTTATCGACCCCTTTCCTCCCTGTCAAATAAAATGTTCTGCGCGGATCTCCGTGTATCGCAAAATGTCATGTGCGAATCTTCCCTTGCAAATCTGGCAATGTCCACACGCGTGCACATGCCGAACTCATACCAAACACACAAGTTCTGCTGATCATCAAAGCCCTCACGGCAGGTTCATACGGCGTCGGCGCACGTAAAGGCTTTTGACACTGCGTCGATCGTTCAACCTTAAACCGATCGCGGCCCCGATCGTTCAAGGTTGAATTTCGTCGGGCCCTGTGGCGTTACCGTGCCCCTCCGTGCTTCCGCGTCGAAGAATTCGACCTTGAACGCCTTCGCCAGCGTCGCCGGCGCGCCAACGCCGCACGAACCTGCCGTAGTTCTTGTGTGAAAGAATGCCCGCGCGCATGTGCGAAAATCAAGCGGAACCATATGATTGCAGCATTCTCATCTCACCACGCGGTCCATCCGCGTTGATCAAGCACGCGCCCAGTGCACGAGAGCACGAGCCCGTATCGAATAATGTCATGCGGGCCACGCGCGCGCGCCGCCGCGCGCAATTATTGAAATCCGTCTCAAACCATTGGTTTCTGAAGCATATCCAAAAAACAATTTTTCTCAACAAATATGAAATGACAAATGTTGCTCAACAAGACAAAGTCTGGTTTCGCCGCCATTGCCGCCATGATCACCCATACGAGGCGAATAAGGGCCCCCTTTTTCGGATCTATCGCCAACAAAACGGCCCCAAGACGGTCTGACAATCCCCCAAGAGAGTTCCAAGAGTACCCAAAGAGGCGCCCAAGAGACACCAAGGGCCCCCCCAAGAGACGCCCAAGAAGTCCCGCAAGAGGCCCCAAAGCGACCACGAAGAGGCCCCATGAATTCCCCCCGACGCTCCAAGAGGCCCCCGAAGACGCCCCAGGACGCCTCCAAGAGACCGCCTCTGGCCCATAGAGGCCTCCCGAGATCTCGAAACGATGCCACGCGCCCCCGATAGGGTAGCTCCCCTAGGGGGCATCGTCCCTGGATGGGAGGGGCTGGTGGAGAGAATTACGCGGAGCGTGAAGAATCATTACCCCGCACCTCCCCGGAAGATCCCCGACGAATCGGCTTCTCCAGACCCCCGAGCCTCTCGACCACGCACCGCGGACCGCAGCCACAGAGCGGAGGCCCCGGCGCGTGCGCGCCGAGTCCGTGGCTCTGCCCACGCGCCCTCGCGCGCCTGGCGAGGGCCAGCCCGGGAGCGGCCCCGGAGGCCGACGGCCGCGAGGCGCCTCCGGCTCGCAGAGCGCCCGAGCCCCCGGGGAAAGCCCAGGCGCTCCTCAGAGGCGACGATGGGGGCGACTCCCGTCGGACTTTGGAGGGGCAGGACACGCGAGAGGACACGAGAGCCTTCCGAGGGCCACACTGCCACAGGCACTTGCCATCGCTCGGACGTCCATTCCCTGTGTTTTGTTCGGTTTCGTGCGTGGTTTTTTCGCCAAATGATCAAGGATGCTCCTCGATGGTCCTCGCCGAGGGAGAAATGCACACGTCCGAGCGATGCCAAGGGCATGTAGGAGGCACGGGTCGCGGGGCACAAGATACCAAACTACCCTTGGTTTGGCAGGGTCGACCTACGAATCTGGGCCGGCTGTATCGAGAGCCCAGGGGAGAGCAATGCACGTGTTCGGGTGCGCCGATGATCCATGTCTTCGAGAAGGCTCCCAGGCGAATACGTGTAGTGCCCGCCCCTGGGCTGTTCGCCCCCCTCGTCGCCGCCGACCTCCCCCCCGAGCGATGGGGGCGCGCTGGCGGGCGCCGGCGGGGGTGGAGCGCCAGGGCTCGCAGGCAGAGGCTGTGGGCAAGGTGTCGTTGCACCGAACGTGCAGACGTGCTGCAACGGATTTTCGCGTGGATTTCTGTCAACGCAGAACCCCGAGACGGCGCGTGAAAAACGAAAAGCATTTCGCGTGGCTTCTTTTTGGTCTTCATCCCTGGCCAAAAGATATCCGCACGAAATTCGCCTCGAAATCCGATTCTCCAGGACACGCCGGGCCCACCCTATCGTTTTCCGAGCGAGATCCTCTCTGCGATGTTGGCGCCACGAGAGGTGCGGGGGAGCACAGAAGCAGCAGCAGTGGCAAGTCGCCGCGGGGAGCCCATCGGCGTGCTGGACCGCGGCGGAGACGCTCAAAATGGTCCGAAAGTGACGTCACGTTTGGGTCATGATCAACAAATGGCGAAAAGTGTTTGCCGACCTTGGCTATGGCCGAATCGAAACCCACATCGCTGTGGAGGCGCCCGGCCCTCGGAGGAGGACACGAAGGAGTGTGCCAGGCCGCCGGGCTCACAGCAGCCGCGTGGCGTCAATGCTCCTCTCCCTCCCGGACCTGTGGTCCCGAAGCGATCCTCCTCCTCCTCCTCCTCCTCCTCCTCCTCTTCCTCCTCCTCCTCCTCCGAGCCATTTTGCGCTCGGGCGCGCCCCCTTCGCCTGCAGGAGGCCCCGAGTGTACGACACTCAGACTTCAGAGCGGCCACGAGTGTCGGAGCCAACGGATGGTTGCCAGCAGAAGCAATGGCAGCAACAACGCGACGTGGCGGTGCGAACCGTGCAATGTCAAGAACGGAGCCAAGTACAAGTACTGCCGGAAGTGCTGGGGTGCACGCCCGACAGCAGCAGCCGCAGGATCTTCCAGCGCGGCGGCAGGAGAGACCCTCGGGGACAAATGCCACGACGAGAAGCTCGCCAAGGTGCAGCACTACCGTGCTAAGCTGGCTGAGCTCAGGAAACTCGCCGAGGACCCGTTCCTGGAGAAGTCCCTGCAGCCGCAGGTGGCGCAGCTCGAGGACAAGCTCGCCGCCGAGCAGGCATCATTGGAGACGGGAGTACCGCGCTGCTTCACCGAATGCAGAGTGGCGCGAGACAGGAACAGGGTCGCAGAGCAGAAGGACAAGTGCCAGCAGAGGATCGACGCGCTCAAGGAACAGAGAGACGCGCTCGACGAGAAGCTCGCCGACGAGCAGAGCAAGCTGGGCAAGTTCGACAGCAAGCTCGAGACCCTGGACAGGAAGATCAAGGAGCTGTCCGTCCCCGCCCCAGGGAAGGGATGGGCGGCAGCGCTCGCCTTCCTGGAGCAGGCCGAGCGCTGCCTCGACGACGACGGGAGCGAGAAGCGAGAGCAGCTCGTCGCCGCGGTCACCCACGCCAAGGAGCAGAAGGCACAGGAAGAGGAGAGGGCCAAGCAACACGCGGAGCGCCTCCAGCAGAAGGCCAGAGCGGAGCAGGCTCGCGCCGCCAAGGAGAGGGCAGGCAGCGCTGACAACCGCAAGCGCAGCTGCCCCGAGAGCCCCATCAAGGAGGACCTCCTCGAGATCCCCGCGGGCGCCAGCGAGCAGGACATCTGCTAGGCGCTCGTCGACGCGGGGGTCACGCCAGATCAGGCTGGCAAGGCGGTTGCTCCTCTTAAGCTGCTGGTGGGCGAGCTGCAGACTGGCCACGCCCTCACCATCAGCAAAACCCGGTGGGCGCAGCAGCGGGGGCAGCGGCGGAACCAACCGCCGCTGCCCAAAGGCGCGACTCGCAGTGTACGCGGCTTATGCCAACACGGCGAAGCCGCTAGAGCGAGTGATGAAGCAGATCAGGGACAGCGACCAGGACGCCATCGCCCTAAGCCAGGAGCTGCAGGCCAGAGGCACGCAGCTCGACCTGTCCCAGACCCGCACGCGCAGAGAGGGCTGGGACATCGGGGCAGTGAGCAGCGCGAAGACCAAGCCGGGTCACAGTGCTGGAGTTCTGATAGCGACGCCACGAAGCAGGGGTATGGACTTCGTGCGCAAGGGGATTAACCAGTGGGACATCAGCCCGCGAGAGTCCAAAGGGCGACTCGCCGTGGCCTGGGTCGACGCCTACAGCAAGGAGGGGCTCGTGCAAGGCACCGCGCACCTGTGGAACAGCGAGGGCCTCACGCAGAGGAACCAGCGCATCCTGGCCAAGTGGGGCGCCACCATGAACGCGATCCAGAAGGAGTGGATCCTCGGTGGCGACTTCAACATGGGCCCGGAGATGCTGGAGCAGTCAGAGATCGCCCGCAAGATGAATGGCGTCATCGTGCAAGACACTCCGCAGGGCAGCTGCCTGAAGAAAGATGGCACGAGGAGCACGCGGGACTACTTCATCGTCTCGCACGGCCTGGTTGCACACGCGCTCGAGGCAGAGGTCCAAGAAGGGTACAACACGTCGCCGCACTTGCCCGTCAGGATGAGGGCCCCAGTGCACCAGCAAAGCGACTACATGATCAACGTGATGTGCAAGCGGGCGCCATGGCCGCTGACGCGGCCAACGGGCTGCCCCTCGCAGCCAGTGCGATGGCCCAGGCCGCTCGCACACAAGAAGTACACCCAGAGCCAGGTCGACGAGCAATGGAGTGAGCTCGGCGAGGCCTACGAGAAGCACCTCAACTGGTACCACAGCTTCGAGGGCGACGACCTGGGCAAGAGACAGGGCCACTTCGAGAAGGCCAACTACAAGCAGAGGCCGCGCAGGCCCAAGCCCTGCACCGCGGCACAGGAGCAGCAGCAGTGGGCCGAGGCTGCAGAGCGGCTTGCGCGGCGGCTGCGCCAGCGGAGGTCACTGGCCAACGCATGGCAGCAGCGGCGAGACGCAGGCACGCTTCGGCGAGCTCAGCACACTGCTGACGGGCTACTCAGCCACGACATCGTCACGCCGCTGCTCGCAGAGCGGGCACCTGGGCAGACGGCTGAGGCAGGCAACGACACGGACGAGAAGGACGGGCTGCTGGAGCCTGAGGGCGCCCCTCGGGAGGAGGCGGAAGGGGCGCAGGACCGCTTCGCGGTCAGAGCGCCCCCCACCGAGGGCCAGCAGGACCCCAACACTTGGAATACGATTCGATGGCCGCTCATCGTACACACGCTGCGAGACTGGCGAGTCACCGACATCGACGACCGCGCCCAGAACTACCTGGGCTTCATTGCCACGCTGCTGGACATCGCCAGCAGGAAGTACTGGGAGATGGTGCACCGAGCGGCCGCGGCGCAGTGGCGGCAGTGGGTCACCGCTCACGGAGAGCGAGGAGCAGGAGCGCTGCACAAGTGGACCAAGGCCCCTGCGCCTTGGCAGCCGCAGGCAGCGCCAGCGGGGGCCGACAGCGACCAGATGCACGAGCTCACGCACCCCCAGAAGGCCGCCGACGCCGCGCTAAAGGGGTGGGAGAGCATCTGGCACGACCCGCTCGCGCCGAGGGCGCCGTGGCTCCAGCCGCCCACGGAGATCGAGTGGGCAGAGTCCAAGCCGCCGCCCATCACCCCGCAGCAGGCGATCGAGGCTCGCGGCCGCTTCAGGACCAAGACGGGGCCGGGGGAGTCGGGATGGCACCCGAGACTCTGGCGCGAAGGGGGTATCCAAGGAGCGGCGAGGGTGGCCAGCACCCTCAACGCCCTGGGGGCGAGCTCGCCCTGGCCGCAGGCGCAGGACACCATCCTGTTCTACTTGATGGCAAAGGCTTCGGGCGGGCACCGCAACCTCGGGCTGATTCCCGAGCTGGCCAGGCTGTGGGAGACCATCCGCATGCCGTACGCCAGGAGATGGGAGCACTGCCACCGCAAGGGGCTACGACTGGGCTGCGAGAGGGAGGTCCAGCGAGAGGGCCGCCTGGGAGCAGGCCTTGTTCTGCGAGGCCACGGTGGCCCAGGGGATGGAATACGCTGTCACGTACTTCGGCCTGGTCAAGTGCTTCGAGTACGTCACGCACGAGAAGGTGTGGCAAGCAGGCACGAGATCAGGATTCAACACGGTGATCCTGGAGATGGTGCTGCGCATCAACTCGATGACGCGGCGCATCGTGCTGGACAACGCATACACGGGGGGGTCGAGATGGGCGCGTGGTATCGTCGCAGGCAGCCGCCTAGCGCCCCTCTGCCTCAAGATGGTCATCTTCGGGGAGCTGGACGGGGTCATCGCCAACTTCCCGTGGGCCTCGGTCTGCCTCTTGTTCGACGACCTGGCGGTCGCCACGCGGGGCGCGAGGTTGTTCGCGCAGCACTGGCACACCCAGCTGGTGCGGGCGCTCGTGGACATGTTCGGGAAGCTGGACATGCAGGTATCCAAGGGCGCGGAGGGTAAGACGGTCACCATGGCGTCGACCACCGCGCTGCAGGACGGCTTCGCCAGGAGAGTGAAACCGCTCGGCATCAAGATGGTGCGACACGCCGACCACCTCGGTGTCACCACCGCGGCGGGCAGGAGGAGACGAGCCAGCGCCTTCAGCAAGAGGGCCAGCAAGTACGCGGCGAGGCGAGACCGCATCGCCCGCATACGCCGAGCAGGGGGGCCTGCGCAGGCGATCATCAGACAGGGGAAGGTGCCGTCGGCGATGTACGGGGCGCAGGTCATGGGCATGCCCAACTCCACCCTCACCGCCCTGCGGCAGAGTGCGGCGACCTCCTTCAGGGGCAACACCATGGGGAGGTCGACGCCGCTCACGCTGCTCGCGCAGGGCGCCGACCCCGCCACCCGCGCCAACACGGAGCCGCTGCTGAACTGGGCCATGGCATGGCAGGAGGTAGCCAACCAGGACGGCCTCCAGGAGCAGCTCCAGAGCGCGTGGAAGCAGTGGGTAGTACGTGTGAGGGCATCCAGAGCCCCATGGCAGCAGGTGCGGGGGCCCGCGGGGGCCTTCATAACCACGGTGCAGAGGCTGGGCTGGAGGACGCTCGCGGCCCACAGCATCACCATCGGCGGCGAGCACCTAGACCTCAGGACGCTGCCTCTCAGGCACCTGAGGCAACTCATCAGCACGGCCACGGAGGATGGCCTCAAGAGCGACTGGCTTCGCATCCACGGCGAGCACGGCCTGGTCAGCCTCTTCGTGGAGCCCGTCGCCGCGCTGCTCAAGAGGCCGCTGAGCAAGAAGTGGACGCTGGAGCACCAGACACGGGTGCGCAGCTTGTGGTGTGGCGGCACCTGACCGCAGCGGCGGCTCTGCGACAAGGGCGCCGCAGAGGACAGCACGTGCAAGGCCTGCCACGAGCATGAAGGAACGGACCGCCACAGGACGTTCGTGTGCTCGGCCAGGCAGAGTCACCGACAAAGAGTGGGAGGGCACCACATATGCTATCGTGGTGCCATGACATGGCCTGGAGCGACGGAGAAGCAGCTGACGACCTCCGAAGCGCTCTGGGGAAGAGGGCTCGCAGCGGACCCAGCGCTGGAGTACGACCTCTGGAACCTGCCCTCCTCGTCCACATGCGAGGTGGAGGGCTCCTTCGACGGCCTCGTGCACGGGGACATCTACACGGATGGCAGCCTGCTGTACGGGGCATATCCAGCGCTGAGAAGAGGCGGCTGGGCAGTCGTGAAGCTTGACAGCGAGCACACGATGGAGTTTGCGTTGTTCGGGCCACTGGAGGGATCGCAGCACGACCAGTCGATCTACAAGAGCGAGCTGATGGCGGTCCTCCAGGCCCTGAGGAGAGCGGTCCCTTCAGTGCGGGTCTTCAGCGACTGCCAGTCGGTGATCGACGGCTTCGCCAGAGGCCCTGAGTGGGCCGCCAGAGCCGACACGACCCACCAAGAGGTCTGGCAGGAATGCTGGCGGCTTGTGCAGGAAAACGGTGGGATAGGTGAGCAGGGGATAAGCTTCTGTAAAGTCCGTGCCCACGCCACGAACCCCAAAGAGCCTCGATAGGGCCCCAGCATTTCATAGGGAATAGGTTTGCAGACGCCTACGCAAAGCGTGGGGCGCAGATGCACCAGCACGAGGCCTGGTACAGGGCCGCGTACATCCAGAGGTTCCAGTTGGTCTCAGACATCCTGGAATTCGCCGCGCACGTCGGGGTTCTCGGTCACGGGCTCGAGGACACCTCCGAGGGCCCTGGGCCCTCGGGGGCCCAGGGCAGCCCCGCCCTCGCCCCGACGCCCAGTGAGGGAGTGGAGAGCCCTGCGGGCACTCCACCGCCCCCACAGGGCCCCGTGGACCCCCCTCCCTGGCCCCCCGTGGGGCTCGGAGAGCTGATCCAGAGGGCCCAAGCCGAAGGCCACCAGACGGTGCGCCTGCAAGCAGTAGTATTCTGTCGGAAGTGCGCAAGGTACGCCACAAGCCGATGGAGGGGTCTGATGACCACCTGTCCTGGGGGGAATCCTCGGGTCCTAGCTGGGCGTCTGAATCGTCTGTGGCAGGGCAAACACCCCACCACCAATCAGAGTTTCGGAGGCCTCAGATTGCCCAGGACAGGCCTGGGATGAAGGGCACCTCCGTTTTCGAGCGTAGTCGCCTCGCCTTCGGCCGATTCGACTATTCGTTGCGAGCGAATCCTCAGCGAATCCTCCTCCTCCTCCTCCTCCTCCTCCTCATCCCCCTCCCCCTCCCCCTCCCCCTCCCCCTCTCCCTCCCCCTCCCCTCCTGCCCCAGACCCTGCGGCGACCTCGAAATCCCAAAGAGACCTCACCACACGGTCACTCACCACACGTTTCTGGGGCTTTTCAGGCTTCATCCGTCGCCCGGAACAGCGCCGGAGGCTGGCACAAGTCCCAAAACCGTGCGGCCGCCACTCGTCGTGGTCACCGCACTGTTTTGCAAGGGCAGCGGCATCGCTATCTGTTCCTCCTCTGACGCCCCAAGGTGCGGTTTTATTCGCCTGCGCGGGCGTGCCATCCAACAAGCTCTCTTGGATAAGAGAGCGGCAGAGGAAAGGGACGACCGCAGCACCTCTCGAGCAAACCGTGCACTCCGCGGCCAACGCGGCAGAGACAATGACGCCCCGAGGTGTGGCCCGACCTGCTCCTCCGAGACCTCCGACGCAGCGTGCGCACTGCGCGCGGCAGCGGGGGGCCAGCCGGCGCGCCTCTCTCCGCGAGCGGTCCTGCGCGGCGAGGAGCAGGCGCCCGCACTCCTGCCCGGTGGGGGCCCGCCGCGACGAGAACATCGTCGGGGCGCTGCCGCCGTCGTCGCCGCCGTCAATCTCGTCCCCTGCCTGCTCCTGCAGCTGCCCTGCGCCCTCTCCCTGCTCATCCTCCTCCCGCCTCCCTTCTTGACAATCCTCCTCCTCCTCCTCCTCCTCCTCCTCCTCCTCCTCCTCCTCCTCCTCCTCCTCCTCATCATCATCATCATCCGCCTCCTCCCTACTCCCCCGCTTCTCTTCCTCCTCCCCTCTCCCCCACCTTCATGGAAGAGGAAGAAGGAACGAGGAGGAGGAGCAGGAAGCGGGAGAAGGGGAGGAGGGCAATGGACAATGGTTTGTCCTACCTCGGAAGATACAGGTCCGAGAACAGAAAGAGGATGAAACGCAGCAGACGCCAGCTCAGGGCATCAGGTCGCAGAGGCCTTGTCCTGACCCTTGCTCTTGCCACGCCGTCAGCAAGTCGCACGTGGAACTCACACAGCGCATCTGCGTTGCCAAGCCGCCGGAACCGATGGCATCACAAACAATCATGTCCAAGAGGGCCTTGACTTGGCTTGGGCATGTCCTCCTACAGGCGGATTTTGGACAAAATTAAAAGAATACCACAAACATACTCGAAAATACTCACAAATAGTAGAAAACTCGTCCCCGTACATGTTTTGACTATTCTTGAATATTCCTCCTGTAGAGGGACATGCCCGACTTAAGCCTTGACTACCGAAGCCTCCCGCAAGCAGCAGGAGCGGGACGGGGATGGGCACTGGGAAGTTGGCGGTGAAGCGCGCACCGTTCACGACTGCCGCCGAAAATCGCCGAGCACGCCCGCAGCGCCTGCATGGCGCGGCCGCCAGGAGGGGGCGAAGAGAGGATGGAGAAAGAGGAGGCGGCGGAGGGTGAGAACGAGGACGAGGAGGCGGAGGAGGAGGAGGAGGAGGAGGAGGACGACGACGAGGACGAGGACGAGGAGTCGGAAGGGGAGGGAGAGGACGGGACAAGGACAGGAAGGGGAGGAGGGGAGGAGTGACGGGGGAGCGGACTCCGGCTCGCCCTCCTGCTGCTCATCCCCTCCTCCCTCCCTCACACACCCATTCCGACAGAATGGGTTGCAACTCCTTCCGCTGGGCCCGGCGGCCATGCCAACATCTGACAGCGCAAGCTCTCGAGAAAGATCCGTCACCACGCCCCGAGGCACGAAGTGAAGTGCCCTCACTTCTGTGTGCTGAGCATTGCCAGCATTGCGGGCACTCTTCAAGGAGCACCAGCGCGCGAGACAAGAATCAGTGCTGCTGTATGCATACATGCGTGTTCATGAGAATACACGTCTGTAGGTGTACATCGACCTACAGACTTAGATATATGGGCGATGGGAGACTGCATTCGCGTCAGCCCTCACAGGCAGTGGGCGCCCGGGCCGCCCACCCATCGAGGTCCTCCATGCGCAATCTTCTCTCAGCAACCATGCGGGCTTGCGAATCCTGGGCAGCGGACCGAGACTGGCAGAATCGTCGTGGTCTTCTGTCTCCTCCTCCTCATCATCACCATCAGCATCAGCATCAGCATCAGTATCATCATCACCATCATCGTCACCATCATCGTCATCATCAAGACCACCACCACCATCATCACCACCTTCATCATCATCCTCATCATCATCAGCACCATCAGCATCATAACCATAAGCAGCATCATCATGATCATCATCATCATCATCATCATCATCATCATCATCATCATCATCACCAGCATCATCATCACCACCATCATCATCAACAACATCATCGTATTCAGCATCATCATCGCCGTCGTCATCCTCCTCCAGCACCTCATCATCATCATCATCATCATCATCATCATCAGCAGCATCAGCATCACCATCACCATCACCAGCACCATCATCATCAGCAGCATCAGCATCAGCATCAGCATCAGCATCAGCATCATCATCTGCAGACGCAGCATCATCATAAGCATCAGCATCAGCATCATCAGCAGCATCAGCATCAGCATCATCATCAGCATCAGCATCAGCATCATCATCAGCATCAGCATCAGCAGAATCATCATCACCACCATCAGAATCACCACCATCACCATCACCATCACCATCACCAACACCAGAGCCATCATCATCATCATCATCATCATCAGCATCATCATCATCAGCATCATTATCAAACTCATCCTCCTCATCATCATCATGTTCCTCATCCTCATCATCATCATCATCAGCAGCATCATCATCACCAGCACCAGCATCATCATCATCATCATCATCAGCATCAGCAGCATCATCATCATCATCATCATCATCATCATCATCATCATCATCATCATCATCATCATCATCATCATCATCATCATCATCATCATCATCATCATTCCCATCCTGCTCCTCCTGCTCCTCCTGCTCCTCCTGCTCCTCCTGTTCCTCCTGCTCCTCCTGCTCCTCATGCTCCTCCTCCTCCTCCTCATGCTCCTCCTCCTCCTCCTCCTCCTCCTCCTCCTCCTCCTCCTCTTCCTCCGTCGTTCTCCTACCTCCCTCTCTCCAAGCGCGGGAACCCGCGCGCGGAGGGAGGGAGGGACCAAGGGAGGAGGACGAGGAGAGCTCCAGAAGCCCCCTGCCTCTGCTGGAGGCCTCCGGCGGTCCAAGGAGGGATGATCCACGGGTCGCGTGCCAGGCACGTGGCAGTGCACACCGTGGAGGAGGAGGAGGAGGAGGAGGAGGAGGAGGAGGAGGAGCAGTAGGAGGAGGAGGAGGAGGAGGGGAAGGAAGAAGAAGAAGAAGAAGAAGAAGAAGCAGAAGCACGCCGAGAGGCGGACCCAGTCTCAGGCCACGAGGACGTTCCAAGGGGGGGGAACGCCTGATGGACCGAGTCTCGTTTCTCGACTTGCCCTCCTTACTGTGGGTAGGCTGCGACCTTGAGATCCTGTAGTTGCCAGTGCCAGAGGGAGGAGGAGGAGGGGGAGGAGGAGGAGGAGGAGGAGGAGAAGGGAGGAGAAGGAGGAGGAGGAGGAGGAGGAGGAGGAGGAGGAGGAGGAGGAGGAGGAGGCGGAGGAGGAGCAGAGAGGAGGAGAGAGGAGAGAGGAGAAGGACAGAAGAAGAGAGACGGAATAACAAAAAAAACGGCACAAGCACAACCCTCGGAGAACCGCGCGGAACATTTGCCGTAGCCAAAGATGAGCCCCCCTTTGCGCCTCTGGCGCCAGCCCACGAGATCCACGCGGGCCTCCAAATATTCATGTTTGTGCCGTCTTTTGCGACTCGGGGGATCCTCCTCCTCCTCCTCCTCCTCCTGCTCCTCCTCGTTGTTGTTATAATACGATTATCATGAGTAGTGGAATTAGAATTATTGTTATTATTATTCCTAACCCTCTTGGAATTGGTATTAGTACTCCCTTCCTTATCATTATTACTAGTAGTATCAGTATTACGGTTACTCGTATTATTCATTCATACGATTAATTACTATTATCATCATTCCTCTTTTTCCTTTTCCTTCTGTTATTCCTCCTCCTACTCCTCTTCTTCCTCCTCCTCCTCCTTCTCTTCCTCCTCCTCCTCCTTTCGGGAGCGCGAGGCGCAGGTCTGGGCACGTGGCGGCGGGGGCTCGTGCGCCCATGTTCATCCCACGCGGGCAGCTGGGCGCGCGGAGCCCGTGGCCTCGGACCTGCGTGAGTCATGCGCACACGGAGTCCACCTCCACCTCCCTCCCCTCCCTCCCCTCCCTCCCCTCCCCTCCCCTCCCTCCCCCACCTCCCTCCCTCTCCTCCTTCCCCTCCACCCCCCTCCCCTCCCTCCCCTCCCTCCCCTTCCTCCGCTCCCTTCACTCCCTCCCGCCCCTCCCATCTCTCCACCCCCTCCCCTCCCTCGCCTGCGTGAGTCATGCGCACACGGGGTCCACCACGGTCGCGCCGCTGTCTGTACACAGCATCGGGTGGACGCGGGTAGAAATGTGAAGTACGTCAGGATCGTGTCGTGCCGACTTTGCCGTTGGTTTCTGACACCGCGGGGATCGTTCAACCTTGAACGATCGGCCGGTTCCGAAACTTCCAAATCGTTCCACATCGAACGATTCTGGGTCGCCCGCGGCGTTCAACGGTGAGTCATGCGTGAGTCATGCGTGAGTCATGCGTGGGTCATGCGTGAGTCATGCGCACATCGGGG